GTATTCAGAGATATCCCTAATGTTTTATCCTAATGTTTTTATCCTCAAACTTTAGTTTAAGTAGTAGGGAGGATTTTTTTTCTAATTTGGGTTCCATCAGCCAGACAAACATGAAATGCTTGTCCAAAAAGATACATCTTCTGTTTTTCTGTTACAAAATTGCAATTTTGATTTGTGCTACGAGACATTGTTCTTTAAGAAGAGGGTTTATATTCCAAAACTACTTTATTAAATTTCAATTTTGCATGGTGTTTGCAGATATAGATGAGTGTAATGAGAACAAGTGTGGGGACCACACAAAGTGCGAGAATACACCTGGAGGGTATAATTGTTCCTGCCTAGAAGGTTATCAGTCATCCTCAGGAAGATTGCAGTTTACGGCAGACGATGGGACGTTTTGTCAAGGTGAGAGATGATATAATGTTGGACAACTTTGTGCCATTTAATTACTGCAACAAAGATACAATGTAGAAGGCTCTTCTTTTTCTCTAGTTACAATTCATAAAGTTTTATTCAGATTAGAAATTATCAAGTTTTCTACTAACATATGTAAAAAATTTTGACACTGGAGCTGAATGTGAATAATTTACCCTCCGGCAGTAACTTGGTAAAGAATAATTAATGTTAATTTGTAACCTTTTCATTGCCAGCAGTAACATTTCATATGAATCATAAAAGATTGTGTTACTTGTGCTTCAAGCCTTGTTCGAAAAATAAATAAATAGAGAAAGTGTTTCTTTTTCACGTTTTAGACTTTTATATGTAAAAAATGGACTATTATTTACATACATATTTACAACTATTATTATCATTCATCAAAAATGGTGGTTTTATGAACTTATTCAGAAAGCAACAAGTATAAATTTTCTAGTACAACAGCCACATTACTGTCTTTAATACTTTCAAAAAAGTTAATTCTCCTCTGGTTTTAATCAATCATAAAATAAAATCAATAAACAAAGCAATAAAACTTTTGATTAATAGTAAAACATGACAATAAATTTAAAAAAAATTACAAAAAATACCTTGACATAGAGAAAACAAAAATCACTAAATACCAATCTAAAATTTCATAAAAAATCAGTATATTAAATACAAATATCTCCTCCCAACAGTGCATAGAAAATTGTCGAAAAAGAAATATACAATTACTATTTTTATAATTTTAAATAGTTTCAGTCTTTTTTAACTCAAACCAAACGGACGTGTAAAGGATGAGTCTATTTATAGAAAATTAGCCACTATTTTGACATTGTTTATTCCAAGTATGTTTGTAAAAGGAAATTCAATGTCCAAAGTGAGAGAAACTGGAGATGGAACTCTAATGGTTTTAAATTACATAAAAAAACAAGTCAAGGACGTTCCAGTCTAAGTGCATAGTCTGAAAAGTTTGCACAAGTATCAGCCAGGAAAAATATATGATGGTTGCAACAAAGGTTTGCTGCGTAGTAACTGTGTATTGAGATGACACAACAAAATATTACATAGTGCTAATATCATTCATAGGAAATGAAAAACACATGGTTCATGGACCCAATCTTTTACCTCAAAGTGTAAGCACTTTTTAAAAGGTACTGAAATCCTTTTTTACCCATTATTTTTATGTTACAATTGAGATTCATTTTTAAACTATCACTATAGATTTGAAACCTGTTTCCTTGTTGTTTGGCACATTATATGTAAATGGTTTAAGTATTGTTTTGTTTTTTAGTAATTTATAATAATAATAATGATAATTTAATAATTGCTATAACTTTAGGTTAGAGTATGTGATACTTCTTTTGCCCATCTTATTTTTCCTAAAGGGACACTATAGACACCCAAACCATTTCAGCTCATTGAAGTGATCTGGGTCAAGTGTCCCAGGTTCCTTAACAATGCAAAGCTAATTATTGCAGTTTTTAATAAACTGCAATAATTACCTTTAAAGGATTAACTCCACCTCTTGTAGCTGTCTACCAAAAAGCCACTAAAAGGACTTCTGGGTCGTTAGGTGACTTTAGTCACGGTGCGGGGTCAGCAGCACCCCCAGAGTTGCTGTATCTCTCGTTCAGTGAGAACTTGCTGAAATTTCAATTCTGGACTGTCCTTATGGGTGAGATCAGTCTGATATGCCTTGGAAGAGGTTCTTTCTGTGATGGAACAAGTGAGAAAAAACCTTTTTGAGACCTGAGCGGGGATTTATCGAAGGGCAAGTTCCTCTAAGTTTTTGTCCATTCTCATTATCTCATATTATTAGTAAAAAGATCAATATTTAATCAATGTATAATATATAAAAATAGATTTTTTTTTATTGCTCCTCTCATTGACTCATCGATTGGTTACTTTTTCTTGCTTGATCTGTGAACCAAATGGGGGGGGGGGGGAAGCTCTTATCAGCATAGATATATACTTTGCAGCACACTGATTGCACCATTTTCAAGCCCTTTTCTAGTCTTCTGATTCAGTTTTCGAATCAGTGTCAACATTCAACCAAAATTCAGATGTCCCACAAAATATTCTAATTTGGAAAAAATGGTTCCGAATTTTCTCACTGTACATAAATCTTCCAGAAAATGATAGCAGTCATATTAGGGCTGTCGATCAGGCAGCCTGGAACAAATTGTGCCAATTTTATCCTTATTGTGTTTGTGAATGTTTGTCACAGCAGTGAACTGACCTGTGTGTCAGGAAAGCCATGAGTCAATCATGCGCGGTCAGGGACTCTGCTCTCTCTCCAGAGAGGAAAGAAAGTCTTCCTTAATGTGCATGCGCCATGTTTATGATGCATGTACAAAAGCGTCAACATTTTACACTGGCAACCTGGGAAATGTGTATTCCAGATAGCCTGATTCACAACCTTTATGGGATTCTTAAAGTGGCAGCAATTTTCACTGTTAGTGTACCAATAGTCACTTTATACAATTATCTGGCAAAGAATCGTGAGTGTATTGTCAAGTAAATGTGGTGTAAATTAGAATTTATCACTGTAGAAGCCAATGGACTTTTTACAGGGCTGTTTCACAAGCTGGTGGTGGTCCCACATCTAACATTGGGGCTCCCACAGCAGCACAGGTGTTTTTGTCATTTCTTTTTTTTTGCACTATTGTCATATGCAGGGCTTAAAGTTTTAGCACCACAGATTAGGTAGAGAAATCCTTCTTGGTCACCCAAAAAATAAGTAATGTATTCACAATCTGTATATAATCTGTTCTGGGAACAAACTAAGTAAATCAAATAATTACTCACATAGTACAAGTTTCCATTTAGGGGATTTAAAATGCTTAATACTTTGTTAGACTTAACTGAATTTATTCTTGTTCATATTAAGAGTTCACATTTTATTGACCTTGGAAGAATTAACGTTTTTCGTTGATCGTTTTCAAAGATTAAACCTGGTATTTGCAATCTTTAACTCTGCCATTTCTACCAAACCCGGTCTATAATCTTGCAAATCAATTAACCTGTCCAGTGATTTAGATGTTTATAAATGTAAAAATATTTATGAATGATTTCTCTATGCAATTATAGAAATGTGACGTAATCATTTGGAATTCCTTTTCCATTTCATCATGTAGATTCAATAGGCACTGTAAATAGTTGCGCCGCTGTTGAAATCAGTTACACTCAGATATCAGTTTAAAGATCTGTGATATTTACTATCACACATAGCAGATTGGCTTCCAAGTATAACTACTTTCCAAGCATACGTACTAAAAAAGCGTAATGATAAATAGCAGGCATAAGCATGTCAATTATAACTACAAACATTGGCACATCATTACTGTTTACAGTTATGAAGAGTAAAAACAGTAAATGTAAACACGAAAAAGTCAGACCCTAATCAGGTCTATACATCTTAAAAGTACATAAATAAATAGTGAGTTCCTCCAGTATTTTAATAATACCAGGAGAGAACCAGTCTCTACTCTATCTCCACCCCGGAGCTGTTGGATGGAGAGTGATATATTGATAGAGTCCACCAAATGCCCAATTTACTAGTCCATTTTATGAACTATATAGCCATGTTAAACAACCTAGGATATGCCCATTCTCATGGACCCTGTATAAAACGCATGGCCCCCATCAACAGTCCAACAGATGCCCAGGTCTCCTCTGCTTTGAGTGTTCACAATACATGGTACCCTCCAACCACTTAGGTTGGAAGCTGAAAATGGCTTCTTTTTTTTTCAAATGTGCATTTGATATTTTTTTATTGGTTTTGTCACATTGATGCTCCGGATTAATGGATATTTGGTTGACAGAAAACAGAATAGAAGATATCCCATCAAGACACGGACAGTGAATATGAAATATTACTTTTAATTAGTATGAAAGGAATAGGTATGGACATAATTAGAGGTGTGGGGGTAGCTAGGGGTAACTATTGTTTCTGTAATGTGTGAGTTTATCCCTACTGGTATTATGAGGGCTATGATTTGTATACTGGACCCAGGAGGCATCTCCGGGACCCTTTATGCAGGCTGTACCTTTTATAAGGGGCATAGCCATCTCTTGCACTCTTTCAATAAATTACTACAGAGTGGAAAGAAAGTCACATACCCTCATCAGTTTTTATTTATTTCTCTTTTAACTATTAAAAGAGTCTATAGCCTCTGCCATAGTAAATGAGAGAAATGAAAATCACATGCTCAGTTGCTCATCATCATGTGTAACTTCCAATGCATTCACGTTCAGTGAGAACACATTATTGTGTTATCCTACGCTGTGGCATTGAAGGATTGATTTTAGTGATGGAACTCACAAACCTGGTTTTACTAGGCAAAGCATTTATGTCTTTTTTGAGTCGTGAATCTGCCACGTCATATAGTGAATATCAAATGGAGTTGCTGTTTCCTATGAAGCGATTCCATTCTGGATGAAAGCCTAATGACTGGCGTTTGTGGCAGAGTTAAGCGATTCAGTGAATACGATCTTTGTATATAAGTCATATTGCGGTTGTCAAGAGGAGATAAAACATAGAAGAATTTTGTAGTTTTTTTAAATCTCTTGAAAGGTTAAAACAAAGGGTTAGAAACAGAGCAAACCAGGAGCTTGAAGAAAGGAATGCAGCTATAAAATATCTGACAAATATAGCATATTGCTATATTTGTCAGATATTTCATAGCTGTATTCCTTTCTTCAAGCTCCTGGTTTGCTCTGTTTCTCTATCTTTTAATATATTTGGGATTTGGTGGAATCCCACCTTTTCCAGTTTTGACCTTTTATTCACTCTTGTCTTATTCCCTCTTACCTAGTCTCTGATAGACATATTGTTTGGCTATCAAGATTTATCTCTATTAAAACAAAGGGTTAATTTGGGCAGAAAATTTCAATTTAGTTTTAGTTATAGTCTTTTGACAAAAAATTTTTTTTTAGTTTTAGTCGTATTTTAGTCATCTGAATTGTCTTCGTTTTAGTCGACCAAATCTCCAGTCAATTTTAGTCGTCTAAATCTCCAGTAGATTTTATTTGACTAAATTTCCAGTAGATATTAGTCAACACAACTAAAATCTAATGGGTTTAGTTAAAGCCCCTATCTGTCTCTTTTGCCCTTTTTCCCAGCCCCTCTGTGTCTCTTTGTGTCCTCCAAGCCCCTCTAGGTGTCTCTCTCCCAAGCCCTGGTCTGTCTCTTATGCCCCTTCCACAGCCTGTCTGTACAGTGTTAATTTTGGTGGAAATGTTCAATTTAGTTTTAGTCATAGTCTTTTTACTAAAAATCCGTTTTAGTTTTAGTCGTATTTTAGTCATCTGAATTGTTTTAGTTTTAGTCGTATTTTAATTGACTAAATCTCAAAAATTTTAGTCAACTAAAATTTTCCTAAAATTGTTAGTAGACAAAATGAACAGCGCCTTAACCTTGGTTACTCCTATTTATAGTTAGATATAACTGACTGTGAAAATGTGAATAAGATTTATTATTTTTGCTACAATGCTATGGTACATTTCTACATAGCTTACATTGTTTAATCAATTATTCAGCTCATATAGCAATTTAACATGCATGTTTTTACCCTTCTGCAGAAAACCTAAAGATTAAATGTCATTTGGACGATCATTGCATTGCTGCAGATATTAATCAAACCTTAAGTAAAGTAAGTATAATTTGGAGAAATGAATATTACCCGCTGCCGTTTTTATTGTATTTATACTTAATTAGGATGTTGTATTTGCATGTTTTTGAGATATCTTTGAACATTTTCTGCAAAGTTCATTTGAAATGCCAGCAGCAATAACCATGTACACAAATTTAGCATAAACAAAAAATACTAATTATCCAGTAAAGGTCGTGCTGAACTAAATTTTCTACTGACTAGTTCACTGCTGAAACAGTCATCTTTGGGGAAAAAAATATCTAAAAACGCGTTGGCTGCCAAGTTGCCATTATATGCCATTCACTCACACTACCTGGGTTTGTTTGCAATTGAGCATAGAATGAAAAATCCCTGACTTTTTTGAGTATAGTAAGGATCAGGTGGCTGTTAACAAAAACCACAACTTATACTCAAAGATGAGCCGCATTGTTTGTTAATTGCACTACTTCTCGTGACAAAATCGAAGAATTTCCCTCTAGTGATTTCTCCATTTTACCAAAATAATATCTTCACACATGTCAAAAGAGGGTTTTTATATTAATATAGTTATTATTGTGACCTTTAATGTCCTTCAATGATAAATCTCTGAATTTCTTTTTTATACCATTAATTCCATTAATTGGACCTCAAAATGAGGTGACTGTTATAATTGCCTCCAGTCTCAAAGAATATTCAAACTATCTTACATTCAAAATCCTAAGAATCAGTAGTCCTTTATGGACAACTTCAACCTGATAGTCTTTTAACTATTATATGTGCCCTTTAAAGGGGACACTATAGTCACCAGAACAACTACAGCTTATTGAATTTGTTCTGCTGAGTAGAATCATTACCTTCAGGCTTTTTGCTGTAAACACTGTCTTTTCAGAGAAAATGCAGTGTTTACATTACAGCCTAGTGATAACTTCACTGGCCACTCCTCAGATGGCTGTTAGAGATCCTTCCTGGGTCATGGCTGCCTAAAATGCATCCAAACATTCAGTATCTCCTCCCTCTGCATGCAGACACTGAACGTTCCTCATAGAGATTCATTGATTCAATTCATCTCTATGAGGAGATGCTGATTGGCCAGGGCTGTGTTTGAATTGTGCTGGCTCTGCCCCTGATCTGCCTCGTTGTCAGTCTCAGCCAATCCTATGGGGAAGCATTGTGATTGGATCAGGCTACCACTTCTGATGTCACCAGACTTTTTTTTTTTTAGACAAACAGCATGCAGAGTTACAGCTTCAAGCTTGAATTCAGTAATATTTTGCTATTTTCTCTGAGGCATGAGGGGCTCAGGGGGGTAGATGGTGGTGTTAACACTATAGGGTCAGGAATACATGTTTGTGTTCCTTACCCTATAGTGATCCTTTAAGGCACTATCTACTCCCAGTGGAAAAATACCCAACACAAGAAATATTTCATTTTTTTTTTTCAGTTTTGATTGAGTGAAAAACAAGAAAAAAAAAAAAAAAACAGCAAACACCTGAGTCTCCTCCAAATAGAGAGGCACTTAATGGTTTAAATACCCATCTGCAATTTTTTATTAACATTTTTTTTAATAAAGATAAAGTAAAGAGTAATAAATAAGTGTTTAGAACCTTTTGTGTAATTGTGAAAATTGAGTTTACTGCGACTCATTTCCTTTGCTTTTATAAGTTATGGAATTGAAATATCCCATTTCTCTAATTTAGGTCAGCAACATTAAAGAGCCTATTGCCATTCTAAAGGAAATACAGAAAAGTACCACAAGAGATCTATTGCCAGTAGACGTGATTTCATACATCGAGGCGCTTACTGCATCCTATCCATTGCTAAGTACCCTGAATAACACGGGGCTGAACAAAGAGAAACTCACTAATACTACCATTACAGTAAGTGATTTGGCTTTTTTAGTTTTGTTTAAAGAATGAAAAGCAAAATGTAAATGTATAATATCAATGTATAACGTAATGAACCTTTTTTTTCCCCCCACATTTTGCCAGACTTTTGTTAATACAGTGAACAATTTTGTAGAAAAAGATAAAATTACAGTTTGGAGAAACCTTACGGAGGATAACAGAATAAAAAGCATGACAAAGCTCCTTCATACAATGGAACAGGCGGCCCTAGACTTGTCGCAGAACTTGAAAAAAAACACGCAGTTTGATGTCAATGCAAGCGATGTGGGTAAGGAAATAATGGAGTTGCAGTGTTATTTTCATATTTTCAAGTGACTATAGTAATAAATCCTCCCAACTCTTTGTTTGCTTTTTTTTTACCACAGGCTCTGCTAATGATACATGTTTTGTGATGTACATTATGTTTGTACACCCTTCTCAGGTAGCTGCTACTAAGGTCCATTTTTATGCTTCTCTGACTTCAACTTAAATGGTCATCTGAGATAGACAGGCAGACAGGCAGACAGGCAGACAGGCAGACCGACAGGCAGGCAGACAGACAGACAGACACACAGGCAAGCAGGCAGACAGACAGACAGACAGACAGAAATTGTAGATAGATGGATACTGTAGATGGATAAATAGACAGACAGACATGCAGGCAAACAAACAGACAGACAGACAGAAAAACTGTAGATAGATAGACAGACAGACATGCAGGCAGACAGACAGACATACAGACAGAAACTGTAGATAGATAGACAGATAAGCAGACAGACATGCAGGCAAACAGACAGACAGACAGAAACTGTAGATAGACAGATAGATATGCAGACAGACAGACATGCAGGCAGACAAACAGACAGAAATTGTAGATAGATAGATATGCAGACAGACATGCAGGCAGACAGACAGACAGACAGAAACTGTAGATAGATAGATAGATAGATAGATAGATAGATAGATAGATAGATAGATAGATAGATATGCAGACAGACAGACATGCAGGCAAACAGACAGACAGAAACTGTAGATAGATAAATAGATATGCAGACCGACAGACATGCAGGCAAACAGACAAACAGACAGACAGAAACTGTAGATAGATAGATCTTAATATTCTGTCTCCTCTTAACAACACATCAGCCTTTGATAAACTCCCATTTTTATAAGGCCTGATTGAGTGTTACCATGTTAACAGATGACAACACAATGTAGATGCTGTAAGCATTTAACCTCACTTCATCACCTTCTTCCCTCAAGTACCGAACCAGGGCTGATAAGAAGAAAAAAATAACATATTGGAAAATAACAAATGTATGATATAGAGACGTAATGTGAAGCTAAAAAGAGAAAGCAGCTGGTTGTGAAATGAATGTTTAAATCCCGGCACTGTCTGTAGCATATGTAACCTTTCTACAGAAAAAGACAGCAAGTTTCTTCTTTGCAATGCACATGCACAAATGGAAAAAACTGCATATATACAGTAACGCGAGTCAGGTTCAGAGAAAATGTTCTAGACTGGTATAATCAGCAGGAATATTAAGCTGCCTTCTATAGAATTAAATCTTAAATCTAACACTACAATAAAAAACTGGAAGGTTATACTGATAAGTCATATTCCTCATCCTTACACATGGACACAGTGTGAATTCTTCTTCTAAATTGCACGGTTATAAACCAATCACTAGAAAATTAATAATACCTAACCATATATTTTATGACAATCATATTCCTCAATCTCTGTTTACCATTAATTACAATTTCCAGGTTTTCACTGTTTATTGTTGACCATTTTTTTTTTGACAACTTTTTTTTTACTTTGTTACTGTTTCGTCACTTACTCTTGTCAATTCCTGAGATCAATTAGGTAAAGTCTCCTTTCAAGTCAATATGACAACCACTAGAGGCCCTTTTGTAAACTAGCAGAGTAAAGCTCTGCTATTTTGGTCAGATGGTCTCAGGGGACCATCTGATTGGCACAGAGTGATGTTTTGCCATGCATGCACACTCGCCTTCCAATTGTTTCCTATGGGATTGGCTGAGGTCATTAACATTAATGTTCTCAGCCAAAGAAACAGAGCTTGAGCGGAGAGACTGACACGGCGATCGAAAAAAGGTAAGTAAAGCACAGTTTTTAACCCTGGTAGTGCTGGCCCTGTCATCTAAACAGCAACAAGGGTACTATAACATTAAGAAAACATATTTGTACTCCTGTATTTAT